TATACATTGGGAATTTAAACATCTTAAATATCAAAGAAGTGAACTTTCTAGCTGTGGTTCTCCCACTAGAATACTTGGTCCCAATACCTGAAATGTGTAAGTGGAAACTTTCAGAGATGGTTTATCTTCATTTTCTCCATCCGGTCTGAAATGGCCAAATCTCCTCCCCAGTTCTTTCTCTATTGCAGGAAAAGAAAGGAAGAAAGATAGAAAAAATAAAGCACATTTCCTTGCATCATCTTTCCATGCCAGTAGAACAAAACACAAAAGCCACAAGACTATGATTCAGAGGTCTCTGCTTTACACAAGTGGCTATTTAAATTCTGTTTGAAATGTAGATTTTTTAAAAATTTCATCTCTGTAGTTTCCAAAAAATTAACGTCAGTTGAAAGCCCTTCTGACCATAAAGTGTGAGTGTGTGACTCCTCCACTTAGTGGTTCTGAACATGAATAAGGACTCCAGAGCCACTCACAGCATGTTTATTACAGCAGGAGGCTGTCACCAAATTTTTAGTAATATTTTTATACAGCATGGGGCCAGAAGAACATTAGAGATTTGACCTTTTCTAATAGATGGTAGTCTCTAAATGCAATTTGTATTATTAGAACTACATTTTGAACTCTTACTTTGTTTTCTAACCACTGTAATTTATCTTTCTACTCAATCCAGAGAAAAAGTAGTGTGTGTGTGTGTGTGTGTGTGTGTGTGTGTGTGTGTGTGTAGGTAGGTAGGTAGGTAGATGAGCAATAGTCATTTATTAGCCCTAAAAACCAATAGTGTGACTTTGGACAGGGGGACCAGAATGGCATTTTGAAGCCAGGAGGTCAGATTGGCTCATTGCTGTCATCCAAGTACAACCTATTGGGATGCTGAGCAAAGTCAGCTTGTTTTGCTCAGTGAAGCTTTCAGCTCAAGTGATAATACGCATGATGTCACTGTCCTTTTGTATTTAGGCACACCTGGATTCAGGTTCAAACAAGAGTATGAACCAGTTCTGAATATTTGTCTTCTTTTCTTTGTATTGCTTTAAATCCCAGTATGGTAGGAAGAGGTGATTAGGATAGAAGAGTTGAGTTGGGGGGATAGAGAATGCAATCAGCCTGCCTTATACCAGAAGTACCTGCTAGAAAACCTGATCTCTTCACAGCTAATTGGTATAAACGTCTCTCTGCCCACCGCTTGCAGCTGGAGACCCACTTATACTTCTATGACTATTGCCATAATTAAATGCCATTTACTTTTTTCTTAGCCTAGGAATGCAGGTCCCACTGACTTTTTCTTTAAGTAAATTTAAGTGTGTGAAAGAGGAAATTACTTACAGATGATTTCTCATATCTGGGATATGCTACTTTACTTGTAAGTGAATGAATGGTGACCATTCAACTATCTCTTTTGTAAAGTTTCCCCTGCTTCGGTAACAGTAAATATGGAGAAATGAAAAAGAAGTGCTTTCATGCTTGGTGTAGCATTACCATCTCACCTCACCCACCTTTTCCTAAGAGCAGTCTGCTGAAACGTCTTTGAACATCAGTGTAGCTGAACAATGCCATGAGCACAAGGTATCCGTGGCTCTCTTCTTCATCATCGCCTTGTCAGTAAATGCTTGTTGAATGAATGGCTATGGGCCAATGGGCTTCTGGGGTCTGAAATACGTCCACGAAAACGAGTATGTGAGGCAGCCTACACTGAGCTGCACTGCCCAGTCAGGTACCACTAACCACACGTGGCTATTTGAATTTCAATCCATTTAAGTTGATGAAAGTTTAAAATTCAGTTCCTCCGTCCCATTAGACACCTTTTAAGTGCTCAAAAGCCAGGTGTGGCTGGTGGCTGCCGCGATGAACAGCACTGATACTGAACGTTTTCCTCATCGCAGGAGGTTATGTTAACACTGGGACTAGAAAGGCCTGAGTTAGTGGCCCCGATCTTTGTAAAGTGGAATTCCCATGTGAGCATGATCCGCCCTCATCCTACAAAAAGTAGCCCTTTTACATCTCTCCCCCAACACTGTAGGAGCTCAGCCAAGAAAGGGGGTGGCCCACGGAGGTGACCCTCTCTTTGAAACTGATAGACAAACAGCAGTGGGGCTGTTAGCCACACTGGTAATCCAGTAGTATGCACTTACTTAGCTACACCGGTTAGTAGAGCAGTGAAATACCTGTATTCATTAATAAAGAGTTGCTGTTTCAAGCGCGTCCAGTGGCTCCTTCCTCTGCCTCAGGAGCCCTGGCCATTTGCATAGGATGCTCCCAACCTTCCCTTAATTAAGCAAAAATGTTAGCTGATACCTATCCCATCCCTGGGAGTAGGAGGCTGCCAAGAGCCCTGCCCCAGCACGAGCAGCCTCGGATGGTGGGTGCTGCCCTTGGCCTCCCGGAGGGACTGCCTCCTAAGGGTCTTTCTTAAACCTATCCCATCACTCACAGGGCCAAGTCCCAGTCCCAGAGCCATCTGCCTCAAGAAGACCTTAAAATCATTTTCTCCAACCCCTTCAAATGACTGCAGAAATCAAGACACAGCGTCACTCAGCCAGCTCCTGGCTACTTCAGAGATAAAACTCAAATTGCCACCGAAACTGGTTTGGCTCAGTGGATAGAGCGTCAGCCTGTGGACTGAAGGGTCCCAGGTTCGATTCCGGTCAAGGGCATGTGCCTGGGTTGTGGGCACTTCCCAGTGGGGGATGTGCAGGAGGCAGCTGATCGATGTTTCTGACTCTCTGTCTCTCTCCCTTCCTCTCTGTAAAAAATCAATAAAATATATTTTTTAAAAAACAACTCAAATTGCCTGACTCGGGGTTGTTGTTTTTGTTTTGTTTTTGGTTTGTGGGTGGTTGGGTTTTTATTGCTGTATCTTCCTGTTGTCAGTTTTCTTAACTGTGAAATGAGGATTGATCTCTTTATGCCTCACAAAGGTGTTAGTAAAAAGAATAATGATACCCAACATTTTGTGTATGACTTATAGTTTGCAGAAATTCTCTCGGCTGCGTTTTCATTTAATCCTCACAAGAACCCATGAACTGTATGAGACTCAGAGGCAGTGAATGGCCGGCCCGAGAGAACAAAGCCACTGTGCGTGGCAGGGGTCTAAGTCTCTTAGGGCTTGGGAAACTATAAACTCGTGTAAATGTAACATAACATACCCACATGGCATTCCTAGTTTTTAGCTTGTGGTATTTTGCAGTTGAAGATTTAGTGACATTGAAAATGGCAACTTTGTTCAAGCAATGCTTTTTTTTTTTTTTGCTTTTGCTTTGATAATGTGCCAACTGCACAGGCTTTGGTTCAGCATTAAAACTGAAGTGGGCTGCTTCGAAGTATATTTTTAAAATGAGAGAATCCAAATTTGTAATTAGCTTTAGCAATGCGAGTTGGGTAGTGTGAGTATCTAAAGAGCTTCTGACAGTCATTTCTGTTATTCCTGGTGGCTTACTCTTTGTATCCCCCACCCCCACAGCAGTTGGATCCTTTGGAAAAAACAAAGTGTGTTCTTTGAGGGGCCATTTCCTCTATTACCACTTTAGTTTTCACATCCTCTAGTCCTGGTATACTTAGACAATATCTGATCGTGGCAAAGGAAAATCATTTAGAAGCCGTGCTACCCACTGGACACCTAATAATAGCAGAATGAAATTTAAATTGTTAAGGGAAGCCACAGAGAAGGAAATGGTCCAACTTTGTGATGCCTTTTATCTTTTGGACTTTTGATCATTTTGATAGAAACATTCCTTACTTTTAGATAAAGTTTTTGGGAAGATCCATTTAACTTACTTCCAAAACAAAATTGAAATTTTGGGGCAGCTCTCTTTTTCTCTCTCTACTTCAGCCATTTTACACTATATGCTATATCCTACTAAGAAGAAATTGTGTTTATAGATAAGGGGAAGAGTGAAATCATTTCATTATAGAACAAAAAAAATCTCTTCAATATTCTTTTATTAGCTTATAAAAATTGTGGCGCTCTCTATATCAATTATCTTGTGGGTTAAATACATATAAAGGGAAAAGAAAATTTTTAGGAAAAGCTCACCTTCATATAATATGGAATGAAAAATTAGAAACAAAACTCTGAGTATTTGTGCATATATGAACAGAGAATACTGGTCCACAATCCCTTTTTCTCAATTCTGAATCCAAAAGGTTCAAAAATCAAAGGGGTTTTTGGTAACTTCCTTGGTAGAAAAACCTGACCTGAACTAATGTGAGGCCCTATTTTATCTGACTTAATAAGACTGAGCATCTGTTTTGCCACAGAAATACTTAATGTGTTTGTGGAGTGCTGCTCCAGACTCTGAATGGGGTATTATGTGATACGTGGTAGTTCATCATAATACTCTCCAAAATTCAAACCGATCTGAATGCTGAGATCTATCTGGCCCAGGAGTTTCAGTTGAAGGGGTCATGGACCTACGTAACAAAACATCCTCAGTGATTCATCAGGGCCAAGGTTACCGCTGCTCTTTATGCTTTTCCATAGCTTCCACGTATTCTCTAATAGGCATGCATTAATTTAGCATCAGAAAAAAGAAGGAATATTTGTTCAAAAATGAACAGAATGAGGCATCAGAGAACCATCTCATTTCAGTCAGAATTCTCGAATTTATCATTTGTTTCCTGGGTTGCCTTGTTACTGCAGCCACATGTGCCTTTTAAACAAAGGTGTTTTGATTTGTTGAAAGAAAACATTCATGAGATGAAGTAACAGAGAAACTGACCTGTCCCCAAGCTGCCTTTGGGCTCAGGACAGCACCCAGTGAGGGATGCTCACCTGGAGAAAGTACTCAGGGAATAGGCTTCCACCGGGTTGAGCCCAGGCATGAATACCATGGGCTGTTTATCATGCTCTGTTGCTGTGGCTGGGTCTGGGAGCACACAGCCAGGGGCACCGTAAGTTAGCTTAGAGGTCATAAATCAGGGGCGGGAGGGACAGGATAGCAGGAGGGATGGGGAATGTTAACAGGCAAGGCTCACTCGCTAATGGACAGCTCTTCCTCCCCACTCAGGTGGACACTCACTGACCTGTCACAAGGCTGCCCCACAGCGCTTTGGGGTCCATGTCTGAATGGATTGCTGTAGCCTTCTCATCTCTCCCTTCGCCCAGTTCCCTGCATCCTAAGACTCGAAGCCAGCACAGGACCTGGAAAGATTACATGTAAGTTTTGATTAAGGTTTCTTTTCTCAAACAAAAACAATGGTAAAAATTTTCTGAGGTGATCATCACAAATAGCCTAAATGCACATGAATGACTTTTCTCTTAACAAAGGCATCTTGAGAATTAGAATTGAGGAAGGGAGCTGGGGTTAGATTCTGCATATTGGTGGTGCCTTAATTTATGGTTCGTAAGCTTGAGCTTGCATCAGAATCATCTGGAGGGCTTGTTACAGTACAGCTTGCTGGGCCGTGTGCCCAGAATTTCTGATTCAGTAGATCTGTGGTGGGCTGGGAATTTGCTTTTCTAGCAAGTGTCCAGGCGATGTTGAGAAAGGTCTGGGGACCCCACGTTGAGAATCACTGCTTTAGTTCATGTGACTGAAAGGAGGGATGTTAAAGGTAGAAAAGTGCATTAAATATTCGGTACTAAACATCTCTCAATTAATTAAGATGTTTAGTGTTCCACTTAACACATTGATTCATCTCTCAGAAAAGATAATTTTGAGGTCTTCTCATCACCATCGAATTTGAAGTCCAGCCAAGTCGATGTCCTAATTCTGGCCATTTTACTCCAGACTGGCTAGTACTAATCATTCATTGCCCTTGGTCTTCTACAGGGCTGACTAACAGTGTTGTTATTGGGCTAAAATGCCAATGACTGTCCTTTTGTAAGTTTGTCGTACTTTTAGATACTGTTAAAAGGAAAACATTTGTTTTCCTGGGGTGGGAAATATATTGCTTCCTTTCAAAGTGAATCATCATCATATCCCCCCTCATACACTTAAATGTGACTTGATTTTACAAAACACACGTGAGAAGGGAGGCATGGCTAAAAAAAAAAAAAAAGTCAGTTCAGGTGCGTGGGGTTATGAGTTCTCAGGACTGACAAGTTTTGAAGATCAGCATGTTACTGTTCCAGCTTTGGAACAAGCTAGTCACCTCTCTGCTGAGGACAAGAATAATTGATTCCATGTTAATAAAAAAAAAAAAGTAGAAGAGCTTGGCTATATGTCAGCATTCATGTAATTGTACATATGTGTGTGTGAATCTATATGCATTTCCTACATTTGAATTTTAAACATTTTTTTCTTTTGTTTCATTAAGTTGATATAAGTGTAAAAATAACCTGAGTGATGCTGTCCAGGAAATGTTTAAGAAACTTCTGGGCATTTTAAATCTGTGGGTAAGCACTGTGATTTATAGCATGTTCCTTGGAAATGGTAAATGTTATCATTCTAAGTATCACTTACAGTGCTTTTATTATAATTCTGTTGAATTGCAAGTAATCACTGTTAATAAAGCAATTCCCAAGCAGCTATATATTGCCTAAACATTAGCAGAGCCCCAAATCCTGGAGATAGATTTCAGTGCATATCTATCTTCAGGGGGATGCCCAGTGGATAACAGGGCTGATATTAGGGCTAACGGAGTTGTGAGTGATGTGATTATCTACTATCACTCTATCCTCACAAACTAAGGCATTCCTGTCAAGCACTAATTAGTCACTCCACACAGCATTCTTGGAAAAGAAGATTTTCAGTTTATAAAACGTCTTCACCATGAAGGGGAAGAAGTGGGTTGGATCAGGTGCATGTTAATCTCTCTCCTGCTTTGGCATCTGTGAGTGTCCACATTTACACATCAGGTGTTCCTGTAGGACGACCTTTTTTTTCTTCTTTTCTTTTTTTAAAAAAAAAAAATATTATTTTTTATTGATTTCAGAGAGGAAGGGAGAGGGAGAGATAGAAACATCTATGATTGCCAGAAGCTGGTCCATCCTTGCTGCTTTACACAGTCGCTGCAGGGAAGAAACATCTGCACAGCATATGTTTCAAGGGACCTGGCTTATATGGCATACTGTTCTTAATATGTTTGCTCCCCTTCTTGGCACTATATGTTTTAACCAAGGTCACCTCTCTGAGAAAGGTTGTTTGCCCAGGGAGGGATTTTCCCCTGAAGTTAGGGAGGAATAAAACCCCTTAACTAAGTGCCAGGTGGGTAGTTAATCACTTTAACTATGAACAATCTCGATTAAGCTACATAATCTTTACTCCCTGGAATAGAGATAAGAAACGCCCTAACCTTTGGAATAGAAATTGACAAGATTAAAATCAACTGGTATAAATACAAATGTAACAAGACAATAAAAAACAGAACCTGGCTGGAGAACCTGGTGAGAGAACCTGGCTCAAGGATGACCTTTTATGTCACTTTCATATCCACAGGCCAGGAAAGGAGGAAGTCTCCTGTGATGCCTCAGGTAATCGGGGCTTCAAGCTCCCGCGGGACCTGACTCACCTGCCAGGACCTGGCTCACCTGCCGGGGTCACTCCCTGTGCCCTCAGGTGAAGCACTCGAGTCACCTACTGCTTAGAGCAACTCTGTACAATTCCGTGCATGTGTGGGGACCATCTGTGCTTTCCCCTCACTAACCTAGAACTGTACTAGCACAAAGTTTATTAATAAAAAAATAACTGAATACCAAATAGTATGACAATTCCTCAAAAAGTTAAACCTAGAATTACCACATGTCCAAACACTCCACTTCTGGGTATATAGCTAAAAGAAGTGAAAGCAGGGATGTAAAGATATTAGCACACCCATGTTTGTAGCAGAATTATTCACAATAGTCCATAGGTGGAAGAAACCCACCTGCTGATCAACCGATGAGTAGATAAAGAAAACATGGTACATGTATACTATGGGATATTAATGAGCCTTAAAAAGATGAAATTCTGACACTTACTAAACATGGATGAACTGTGAGGATACTAAGTGAAATAAGCCAGACACCAAAGGACAAATACTGTCTGATCCCCACTAATATGAGGTGCCTAGAATAGTCAGATCCATAGTCCGAAAGTAGAATGATGGTTGCCCGGGGCTAGGAAGAGAGGAGAATGGGAAGTGAGTGTTTGATGGGGACAGAGTTTCACTTTGGGAAGATGAAAAAGCTCTGGAGATGGGTGGTGGGAATGGTTGCACAACGATGTGAATGTGCTTAGTACCATTGAGCTGTGCTTTCAAAAATTGCTAAAATGGTGAATGTTGTGTTATGTATATTGTAACACAATGAAAAGAAACTGAATACCCAAGATCACTTTCCTTCCAAGAATGCTGTGCAGAATAGCTAGTGCCTAACAGGGATGTGACAGTTTGTGAGGCTGGAGTAAGAATGGGTGACCCTGTCCCTCACACCTCCCGCAGCCTCATACTCTCCCTGGCCTGCTTTTGGGCCAGAGGGAAGGGTCTGCAGAATGTTCTACTTCAGTCTTAGGAATGGGTCCTGTCAGGGCAAGGACACATTTTTCAGAAACTACCAGGGGAAATGCCACAAACAACTGTAATCGCTACCAAAACGCCCTTTACAGGTATAGGAAAGCGGCTTCACTGGCACGGAGGGACAGGCACCCACCTGTGTCCTGCAGTGGGGCTGCTCCAGTTCATCAGCATCGTGTGCTCACGAAAAGCCCAGGTACAGTGCCCCGCAAGCACGCAGTTTCAGAGCCGTGTGCATGGCTGTGGCACCTACGGGTCTTGATCGGTGCAGGTGGACATGGAGGCAGGAACCAGATGGAAGCCTAATAGAAAATGAAAACTCCCAAGGAAAACTAATGGCACATAGTTCTCCTCCACCAGGGCCTCAAATTATTGTAACACTCCAAATGAGGTATAATGTATCCCCCATCACCAAATCTCCGTAGTATTGTGTATTACTGTATCCACAAATCACAGAAGAATTTAGTGAGTGACCTGCAGTTCTGTGAGGAATATGCCATATTGGACCTATTATGGTAGTCCATTCGGGCCTCACGTTTTTGGGATTTTGCTTTTTATTCTATGTTTCCAGAAAGCCGGCCTTGGAGAATGATCATGGGACTTAGTGTCCTGTTTTCTGTCCAGGTTTCCTTTACTACTTTCAGGCACTGCCCCTGGGCCTGACCAGGGGTTGTAATTTCTGAAAAGCAATGCATCAGGGTGCATAGTTTCAAAGAGCTTAGAAACCTGTGCTAAACTATCTCACTTTCTCCAAGTTTCACCTCTATGTGAGTATACATTATATACATATACATGCATGTGTATATATGTATGTATATTTGGCTTAAGGAAAAGGTATAACCAAAAAAGAGATAAAATAAGGTCATCGAAGTTAAAGTACAATATATACAAATTAGTCCCCTCATTCCCACCCCAGACTTTCCAAACCTGCTTAGAAATAAACTCTCTATGCTCTTCACTTGGGTGATGGCGACAGGGCAGGGAAGGTTTTGAAGTCAGGTGCCATAGGGAGCTGCTAAGATACCATAAAAAACTGAAACTAAAGGTTTTTATCGAAAAAGAAAAATCCAGGTCAGCAAGTCTCAGAGAGAGAAAAGTAAGTGCTTATTTCTCCTTGATATCCACGTGGAGCTACCAGCACCCTACATTTAAGTTGAAACCACATGGATCTAGAATCTAATTAAAATTAATTCAGGCCTTGCCTGGCCAGAGTGGCTCAGTTGGTTGAGCATCGTCTTGTGCACCAAAAGGCTGTTGGTTCAATTCCTAGTCAGGGCACATGCCTGGGTTGTGTGTTCAGTGTCCCAATGGGGCATGTGCAGAATGTAACTGATTGATGTTTTTCTCATATCTCTCTCTCTCTCTCTCTCTCTCTCTCTCTCTCTCTCTCTCTCTCTCTGTCTCTGTCTCCTCTCTCACCCTCCCTCCCTCTCCCTCCCTTCTAAGCATTTCCTTGGGTGAGCATTTTTTGAAAATTTAATTCAGCCCCATGACTTTGGCTGGACACACTGACACATGTTTCTCCTAGAGAAGACCAGCAAACCAACAGTCACCCAGACAGGATGACATGAGGCAGAGAATACCAACAAAGACAGACCCTGGGGGCTCTCCTTGCGGCTCTCGTGTTTCCCAGCAATCAGTTGTGCCTGGTCCAGACACTGAATTCATGTTTAGTGATGGAACCCAACTAACCAGAACCCTAAATTAACTGCCCTTTCTACT